GACAGAGGAGAAATCTGTAGGAATTTTTGTCTCTGGTGTCAGAATAAGGCTACATCATCATCTCCAAAAAAGCATGAATTAATTAACTGCCATAACAAAGCAAGCTCCGTGCTATCCAAATTCTTACCCCCACATAAACCCTAGAAGACACAACTTCCTTTGAACTTCCAACCACGTCCAAATGGCCAGCAGAGCATACACTAACAAGGGCTGATTGACTAAGGCTCCTTGTCTCAGCTTCCTTTTTTTTTTTCTGACCTATTTTGACCTTTCCTTTTTTATTTCCTTTCTCTTTGCTCACTCACTTTCATCTGCTTTTCATTTTTCAATGAAATAAAAGATCCTTACAATCACCGGCTTAGGAAGCCACCAGCTAATGGACCTCAGGTACTGGGACTGTGCAAAGAAAGTTGACTTCAGCTTGTGTTTCCTTCTGACTTCCGGCATGTATCTAGCAGAAGGCCAGGGTGAAAGCATGTGCGATGGTGAACTGCCTGCAGGAAGAGATGGGAGGCCCTTGTCAGTGAGCTTGGATTTCACAGATCTGCCACAAACAGCAAGAATAACGTGGTGTTCATTGGATCCAGAAAAATTTAAAAATCACGATAGCTCATCAGGGGAAGAATTGTGTTGTATTCCTTCATGTTAAAACAGGCATGTCTAATTTTCATTTTATATGGAAGACAGAGACAGAGAGACCTCCCATCTGTTGGGTTCACTCTCCAAACGCCTGCAGTAGGCAGAACTGGAGCAGGTTGAAGGAGAGAAACAGGGAACTCAATCCAGATTTCATCCTAGCAGCATCATGTGCATTAGCAGGAAGCTGGAATCAGAAACAGAGCTAAGACTTGAAGTCAGGCATTCTGATGTAGCAAATAAGTGTCCCAAGCAGTAGATTAACCGCTGTATTAAACTCCCATACCTAAACGGCCTTTTCAACCTGCTGTTCTAAAAGAGAATCCTGGAACCTGAGGGCAGCTTTATGTTGCATGCCATATCCATTTTTGTGCAGTAGGTGTCAGCCATGCACAGCCTTTTGAAATCCAACAACAAATGTTTTAAGTATATGATCCTCTCATCCACCCTTTCCCTGGGTAAAGAGCTCAGTTGCTTCCCATGTGCAGCATGTAAAGCTACAGAAGCTCACTCAGATATTGATCACAGAGTTGACTAAGTACTTGGAATTTGGACCAGATGAGGACTGTGTGAAGAGGTGACAAATGTTGGTGGGGTCTAGATTAAATACTGTGGTTCTCATCTGTTCACTGTCCTGCAGCGATGAACTTGGTGCATGGAACCTCTAATAACATACGTGGACTACCGTGTTGGTGAGATAGCCAAAGTTTATGGTGGCATCAGGCTTTTATAGACTGAGGCTCACAGAGAATAAGCGAGGAGGTATTGAGGACCTTACATAGTTTCCATAAACTTTTCTATGGAACCCATCAATTGCTTCCAAACCCAAGTCTGAAACTATCTCTTTTTTTTTTAAAAAAAGATTTATTTATTTTTATTGGAAAGGCGGATATACAGAGAGGAGTAGAAACAGAGAGGAAGATCTTTCATCCAGTGGCTCACTCCCCAAGCAGCTACAATGGCTGGAGCTGGGCCAATCTGAAGCCAGGAGCTTCTTCCCGGTCTCTGATGCGGGTTCAGGGTCCCAAAGCATTGGGCCATCCTTGGCTACATTCCCAGGCCACAGGAAGGGAGCTGGATGAGAAGTGGGGCTGCCTGGATTAGAATTGGCCCCATATGGATCCTGGTGCATTCAAAGAGAGGATTTTAACCACTATGCTATCACACCGGGCCTGAAACTATTTTTTTGTTTTGTATATCAAATCAAGTGTCCTCATAAAATGATATCCAATCAGTTCTCATGCAAATATATCCAATCAGTTGTTCTCATACAAACGACATCCTATCAATTGTCATCCTATGTTCGCCGTCCTTGTACAAATCACAATGTCCTTCTACACTCATCCAGAGTTACGATCTGGTCTCAAGGTAGATTTCTAAAAAGCACATTTTGACACCAACTCTGGATCACATAGCCATGGCCCTGACCAAACTTTGAGGTGTGGATGAGCTACTGAAGCTTCTTGGAGAAAGTATCCAGTGTAAACCACTGGTATCCAACTTACCCATGAATAGTTAAGTGCCTGATCTTTGACCTCAGCTAAGACACTTCTGGGATTCTCAGCTTCTCAATTCTTTAAATCTTTAAAAATAATAACCTTAATTAATTAATTAGGAGAGGGAAATTGAGCTATATTGTCTACCAGTTTGTAAACTGTAAGGCAGTATTTAGTAGAGAAGGTAAAACAAAACATAAAGGCAAAAGTAGAGTAAAGAATAAAAAGGTATTCCATGGTCAAAATTGAATAAGCCTCAAGTGATCATTTTGGACAGATTCTTTCAAAAGATCACCTCAAGATTTGTCTTTTTCTCCAGTGTTTACTTGGTGTGTAGAACTTTGACCCACTGAGGATTTATGCCACAATCAGTTCCCAGCCAAAAGAGGCCCTCCATATGAATGGTTCCTTGAACGGGGAGATTCCTTCCTCACTGTTACATTGCATCACCAACACTGCTATACCAGTTGTAAATTCCAAGTGCTAGAAAAAATATTAATCTATAACAGCCATTCCTTTCCAATTTGGCAAACTTAGGGCCAGCATAGCACAGGAATGTGTGTGATCCTGTAACTCACCTTACAATCCTAATTCATAATTCAGTGTGGTAACAGGGCTTATCCTTTTGTGGTTGGTTTGGGCTGACCTTGGCAAGAGAGCGCAAATGAATCACATTCCTGTTTTAGCCCCTATTAAGTCTGTATCCTTCAAAGGAGACCTGAAAACAATCCTGGAAGAACCTGACTTTGAGTCTGATTCTTTGGTACTGAAATCCAAACAGAAGTCTTCCAATCACTCTATCACATTTTCCCTCCTTGTTTCCTAAAGTTGGCAGGAAAGGCCACATGCAGCTCAAACATTTCTCATTTCCTGTGACTCATCCCCTCCCATGGAGTTTTGTACTATATATTCTCTGCCTTGCTGAAAAATCCTTTATATCCTACCCTCTTTTTTTTTTTTTTTTTTTCCTTTTTTTCGCTGAGGCTTTCACTTCTCCGTATGTTGAGCTGGTAGGAGAAAAGATGAGACTTTGAAACCTCTTCATACTTGCTGAGTTATCAAGGGGTAGACAGAAAAGAACGGCTGTCGGACTTTAACCCATTTGTAACAGCCCTTGCTACGAAAGCTCTGACATTATCATTTTGGAAGAATTTAAGTACTCCTTTAACCCTTGAAACTCAAAGTCTTTACAAACATTTTTTCAAAAGGCGAGACCAGATTCCTGCTAGTGGTTAGTTGGGGAAACTTTTTTTGAGACGGTATTGAAAATAATTTTTGCATATTCGATAAGACTTAAGATAACTTCATTTTAGACTTAAATTGTTTGCACTGTTGTCTCATACTGTTGGTTTCTTGATTTTCTTTTTCAGTACTTTACAATTTGTACACAGGCAATTGTTTTCAGGGAGTTTCTGGTGACATTCTTCAAGAGAAGGAAATCAGGGAACTATGTGGAAAGACATTAGTTATCTCCCGCCCCACAATCAGGGAGGTGCTGATATTTCCCTTGCCTGCTTTTCAAATGTTAACTTAGCACAAATTGGGGAACTAAATATCTGAATCTTTTTTTCTTCTTCTTCACGTGTCAACCAGGCCTGCATAAAAACTACCACTTCCTGGTGCTTTTAGTTTTCTGTCTACTCTTAATGGCTCACCATCACACTGAAATGAACGTCTTCCCCATTTTTCGCAATTCCTCCCCACCAGGGGATCGCTCCGCCCTTCAGACAAACTTGAAAAAGACGCCCTTACAAGCTACCTTCTTGTATCCCCCAAAGATTCTGCCCCAAACGTCCACTTCTGGGGCATTCAATTGCGGCCGCATAACTGTCCCTTTATTGGATCCTAAACGCTCACTGGCGAGCGCTCGGCAGAACACCTCGGCATGCAAGGTCGCACCTCGGCTTCGCGACAAGGACAAAGACGGAGAAAGGCGACAACGACCAGGAACAACATCGCTGTCCATTTTCCCGGCGCTCTTGGTAGGGGCAGGGGAGGGCTCTGTCCTCAGATTTAAATGGCAAAGGAGGGAGGAGACGCGCCCGAGGATGGAGAGGCGCAGAGGCGGCGGTGTCGGGGCGGAGCCTGGTTCAGCGAATAAAACCTCCGGCTCCCAGGGACGCACTTGAGCGTGCGGAGGAACCACTCGCCTGCAACCCGCCGCGATGGGGGCAGCCTGAGCCTTGAGCTACGAGAGCCGAGCGAGCGAAGAAGCAAGGGCATTAAGACGGAGCGAGCCAGAAGCGGGCCTCTGGGGAGAGCGGAAGCCGGAGCCCTGCAGGGGAGAAGAAACGCACAGCAGGTGGAAACCAGATCTGGCGCGAGCGAGCTGGTCGGGTCCTGCGCTTGGTGTTAGGTGTTTTTTTCGGGGGGAGGCGAAGAAAGTACCCGAGGATCGCCTATTCGGTTAATGAAAACTACTTTTACCCTAAGCCTTAGAGGCTAAAGGGGGAGGTCAAGGCAGTCTCCGTGCCATCAAGAGGCGAGCTGAAGGGAACCCAGGACTGTTTGTTTGGATCAGGCAGCGGCTCGCGCGTTGAGGCGCTCCACCCTCGGGAGAACACATCCTTTTCAGGAACCGTCCAGTCGGAGCCGCTGGTGCAGGTCTATTTTTATACTTACATCTATATGCTCTCCCACCCCACCCCCTATTTCCAAAACCCCCCAGCACTTTCCTGGTGTGTAAGCACGCGTGATGAGAAAGTGTCGATCCAAAGTATGGGTGAATTTTCAAGCCATGCACCTGCTGGTCTGTTGTAGACCGTAGAAGCGGTCCCTATTTTGGGGAAGGGGCATTTTAGTTTGAAAGGCTCTTTCTCCTCTTTTCTCTCTGTGTATTTATACGCGTACGCATTCACACAGAGAGACAGCTTTTGGAGGGTGAAAATCTACTGAAAAAAAGATGGGAAAAGGAGCCAGGCAGCGACATAATGCCGAAAAGAACCATGCAGGTGGGAGTGAATCCCCAGCTACACCCGAGACCGGCTCCGGAGGGGGCGGAGTAGCCCTGAAGAAAGAGATCGGATTGGTCAGTGCCTGTGGCATCATCGTAGGTGAGTACAGTTTCTCTGCCCCATGTCCCCTCGGCCTCTATAAGGTGGGAGTAGGGGTGTCCTTTCTTGTGGGATGCTACGCCGTCTAAAGTACTGTTTTGGTTTCATTCCTAACTTTAAAAATTTTTTTGCAAGACACCTGCCTCCCTTGATCAAGTTTGAGAGGTGTTAGAAGTCATGAAAGTTAGATGTCCGCCCCCCTCCCCCCCAAAGCCCCTGTTCAAAGCAGACTGAACAGGGCTGCCCCGAGCGTGCACAGAATGGAGCAAATCGGGGTCAACGCACCTGCTGATTATGCGTCTTTGCGTCCTGCCTTGGCCTGGCACCTGGTTGAAAAGAGAGGCCCCCAGGCCTGAACACTAGGTCATTCTGATTCAGTAGGCTTAAGGCTGAACCGAGGCACCTGAGTGTTTAACAAGCGTAAGCAGCCCCTCAGTAGGCTGTGGACTGGTTTCAGGGACCACATCTGTATATGGTGCACATATCTTGTTGGTTTGTGTCATATGAAACTGTGAGACATGTCCTCAGAACAACACTAGCAGCCATTGTCAGGCTTGGGCCTGGAAGCCTGTGTCCCCTCACGCAGCCACTGTGTGACAGAGATGCACTGGCTGGATTCGTGTTCTCACTTCACAGATTGGGACCTTGTGGGAGAAAAGAAGAGATAGGTTGAGGTTGTGCCTTTCTGTAAATGGAGCATTTGCTGTTGGTTTGTGTAGTCACTCAGTGGAATGAACCTGCCTGGGGAACACTCTGAGAAGACCCATGAGGGAATAGGAAGTAAAGAGAAGCAGAGTTGAGTGAGAACTCGCAGGTGGAATGTGTGCATGTGTGCATCTGGAGGTGGGGATCCTGGGACCCGGAATGGCAGTGCAGGCCACTGCCTTCTGCAGGGCACCAGGAGGTCGGGGGTGAGAGCGAAGTACTATAGCTTTGTCTGCAGACTGCACCTCCACTTGAAGAGAGGAAAGACAGAAAGATCTTCTACCTGCTGGTTCACCTCCCAAATGACTGCAACGGCCAGAACTGAGCCAAACCCAAGGCAGGAGCCAGGAGCTTCTTTTGGGTTTACCATGTGGATGCAGGGTCCCAAGGCCTTGGGTCATCCTCCACTACTTTCCCAGGCCACAGCAGGGAGCTGGATGGGAAGTGGAGCTGCCGGGATTAGAACCGCGCATAAAGGATCCCAGCGCATGCCGGGCCCTAAATCTCTATCCTTCCAGAATCCCTGGTGAAGGCTAATAGTGTCATGGTGCCCACCAACGGTTTCTCTGGCGAACACCGCGTGCCATGCAGCAGCTCAGAGAGGTTTTTGGCACCTGAGCCATGGTGACACTGGAGAACTCTCTGGAAATCAAATAAAATCACAACAGTATTCAGTATTCAGATAATCCTCTGCACCTTTCCAGCTCCCTCCAGTGTCTTTTCCCAATGGAATCCCACTGCAACTCAGTCCCTGGAACTTTTCCAGGTATCCCCAGTTAGAAGATAATATTCTAGGGGGGAAAAAAGGATATCTTGGATCCATATTTCTCTTTACATTTTACTTTTCGTCTCCTTTACTTTATCTCAGTTGTTCTTAAAAAATGAGATCAGCCAAGGACTCATTATGTATAGCACATTGCCAATTCAAGGACTATAAATAGGTCGGAGCCTGTTACCTCTCTCACCAGTTTGACTAATACAATGAAGCAATTCTGCCTGCCTTTGGGAAGGTTCTGCTTCTGACCCCCAGGGCAGACCACCCTCTTCCTGTTTCACCTCCCCCACCTCTCCCTGCAGGTGGGCAAGTACCACCTAAAAGGGTATTTTCCTGTAGATGGAGGTTTTCATCTCTTTAGGAATTTTTCCCCAGACCATGAGAAAATGTGAGTGTTAGGGATCCTATGGACAGTTTCCATAGAGTGATTTGTTCGTGACCTCATGGGTGGTTGTTCAATATGACATGAGTCCCCAAAGTCCCCAATGGTGGCATTACAGTGACAGAGAGGGACAATTCTGGTGTTCCGTGGTGAAAAGACATTCTAGATATGTGATTTCAAAGAAATCAGGACATGTTCCCCAAAATGGAGGGTCACTGTAGGCTTTATCAGCTCAATTCTACTCCCATACAAGATAAGGTGAAACCCAGATGTCCCTGGTAGGATGATACAGGGACAAAACTCTTTCTGTTTTCGCTCATGCCCAAATGTCAAGGAGCAGATGGGCCGGCGAGCTGTGCTGCCCTCATGTGTAGGGCTTTCCAAGTGCATGAGAGCAATTCCAGTTTTTCCAACACAAAATGCAAAACTGGAAGCGATATTTTCCATGTGGTGTTTAGTTGCCTGGTGCTCCATGTCAACATATGATAGAATTACAAGGCACAAAGAGGGGTGGGTGTTGTGGCACAGTAGATTAAGCCACTGCTCAGAAAGCACACATCCTATATTGGAGCGCCAGTTTGAGCCCCAGCTGCTCGTATAGTCCAACTTGCTGCTCAAGGTACTTAGGTGCCAGGCTCCTGGCTTAGGCCTGGCCTGATCATTGTGCTCCTCAGGAGAGTGAACCAGCAGATTCAATGTGGATCTCACTTCTTCTTGGTTTCCCTTGCTTTTTGTCACTTTGCCTTTCAAGTAGATTAAAATAAACAGACATGCAGGGAAATTTGGAAGAAAAAAAAAAAAAAGGCAAGAAATTTCTCAGTGACTCAAGTCATATGGTATAGGAAAGTAGCATTTGTCCCAGATAGGTCTCATCCCCCACTGAGTTACAGGATTATGCTTCATGCAGGTTCATGAGACTAGTAGTCATTGTGGATGATCAAAAGTAGGAATTACAGAATGACAGATATTATAAGACTATAAAATGAACTAGCAGAAGATTCGTACTCTGGAGTTGTTTATAAGCTGATCAGATCCGTGGGTATTAGAAAGAGAACATTGACCATTCTCGATATGATGGAGTTGTGTAAGAGCTGAAGGAGGACAAAGTCAGGTGAATGATAGGAGGCCCAAAGAGGAGGAGGCTCTTATATACAGAATTAGATTAAGAAACCTCTTGAAGATATGTGCAAAGAGGAAGCGAAGAAGATAATTCAGGAAGATTTTAGAGTAAGAGGCTAAGGACTAAACTTATTTCTTTGAGCAAAAGTTATATCTTATGCATCTTTAAGTCTACTACTACTGCCACTACTACTATTATTAATTTACTTGAAATTTACTTTACATTCACTGGCTCACTCCTCAACTGAGCACAATGGCTAGGGCTGAGCCAAACTGCAGGAATTGGAAGCTGCAGTCAGATCTCCCACTGGGGTTCAGGGGCCTAAGTGTCTGATACAGAACAATTTCTTGAATGATTGTTGAGTTGACATGGCTCCTGTACGGACATCTGAAGATGCTGGTAGTCAGCAGCACTTACCTAAAGGGCTCCTGGGGGCTTGGCTTGGGAATCTTTATGCTAGGAGTAATCTCATCACCTGAACAATTTGTTTGGCTCATTTTTATTTAATCTTATCTTTATTGATTTGCAAGGTAGAACTCCAGAGAGAGACACACTCAAACACACACACACAGATCTTTCATACACCAGTTCTCCACCAATTAGCCACATCAACCTGGGCTGAGCCAGACCAAAGCCAAGAAACTGCAGCTTCTTCCAGGCCTCCAGTGTGGGTGCAGAGGCCCAAACATTTGGGCTACCTTCCAAGGTACATTAGTAGGGGGGCTACATCAGAAATGGAAAAGCAGAGTGACAGGCGGCAGCTTAATCTGCTTTGCCATAATGTTAGCCTCAGCCCATTTGAGTTTTTTACCATCACCCTTGCCCTAACCTAGTAAAGCTCCTGCTCTCTTGGCTAAGGAAACTCACCAGCAGCCAATCAATCTCTGTAAATGTGGAGTACCCCCTAAAATCTTTTTTTTTTAATATGTATTTATTTTTGTTGGAAAATCAGATATACAGAGAGGAGGAGAGACAGAGAGGAAGGTCTTTTGTCCATTGATTTCACTCTCAAGTGACTGCTACTGCCGGAGCTGCGCCAATCTGAAGCCAGGAACCAGGAGTTTCCTCCAGGTCTCCAATGTGGGTGCAAGGTCCCCAACGCAGGTGCAAGTTCCCATAGCTTATGGGCTGACCTCGACTGCTTTCCCAGGTCACAAGCAGGGAGCTGGATGGGAAGTGGAGCTGCCAGGAATAGAACCAGCGTCCATATCCTGGCGTGTGCAAGGCAAGGACTTTAGCCGCCAGGCTACCATGCTGCACCCTCTCCCCCCCCCCCCCGCCTAAAATCTAAAACAGGTATGAAGGATATGAAGGACAGAAAAACTGCCAACACCATGTATATTGGTGCTAAGCCACTTGCTCTATGCCAGGTGCTCACCTTATTACCTAATATGCCTTAGTTGTTCCTCAAAATAAACTGTGTAATAGGCACTTATCTCTTCGTACCGATAAATAGGGGCTCAGAGGGATAAGCGACTTGCCAAAGGTCATACAACTAAAAAGTCTACAGAAAAGATTCAGACCTGCACTTTCAGTCTTGAGTCAAGCTCTCTCAGGCAGTGTTCTCTATTATTTCTTTTCTTTTTTTAACTATTTCGTTTTTATTTACTTGAAGGGTAGAGTTATACAGACAGGAGGAGGCATTCAAATATATACAGAGTAACAGAGATCTTCCATGTGCTGGTTAACTCCCTGATTGACTACAATGGCCAGAACTGGGCCAGGCCAAAGTCACAAATTGGGAGCTTTCTCTGAATTTCCCAAGTGGTTGCAGGGGCCCAAGAACTTAGGCAATCCTCTGCTGCTTTCTCAGATGCGTAAGCAGGGAGCTGGATCAGAAGTGGAACAGCTGAGGTTTGAACTCTCACCTCTCTGAGATGGCAGTGTCACAGGCAGAGGCTTAAACTATTACGTACACCACAACACTAGCCCAGTATTTTGTGCTATTTCTATTTTTATATCCTAATGGATTTTTTTTTTCTCTGAAGAACTAGGCCCAAAACTCTTATTTGTTTTTA